ATGTCAAATAACTGCCATGCAGACTGCTGCTTCTGGAGCAGGGCCACAAACACAAGCTGATGTGAACACATTATGAGAGTCTGCAGTGGGCCCAGAACTTTTGCAGGAGAAAGATTCATGGAGCTGTGTGAGGTGCTCACTGTGGCACTGAAAGGGCAAAGCACCCAGCTGACAAAGCAAATAAGGTCCAGAAGCATGTTGCTTTTGCCCTTTTGAAATTGGTAGCTACAGATCTATGGGCAATCAGTTGGCCATTGGGAAATCGACCATTGAATGTGCTCATGAAGGTTTGCCAGACCATCCATGGTGCTATGCTGGGGATTGTCAGAATTGGAAATATTCCTGAAATAATGGAGGTTTGGATTTTCAGGGTTCCTAACCTGTGCAGATTATGCAAAAAAAAAAAAAAAAAAAAATAATAATAACCCTGACTGAATGAATCAGGAGCAGAGGTAACAGCTGAATAAAGGGCTTGCAATTACCCTTTCTGAAAAGTGCTAGGAGAAAGCTGCCTGAGGACAGCAAGGAAAATAAGAGAATGAAATGACCTGGGTGAAGCCAGCCTGGGCAACAGCATGGGGATTGACCCCCACCACGCCAATTCTTAACTTTGAAATTGCATTGGCTTTTTGTGGTATTGTGGCTAAGGAATAAGCATTGCAGGAAATCAGCAGATCGAGATGCTTCCCATTTCTTTTACAAGGATGGTAATAGCTGTATGTCTGACATGATGGGAAAGGAGCATGCAGGTAGCCTAATGGTAAGTGCCCTAGAAATGTCTATAAATTAACAAATATATTTTTAAAGAAAACCACAAAATATAATTAATGTCTAGATATATGTTTTATTAAAACTGCACCATTCCTGTACATTTGGCTTACCTGGTTGACATTACAACTGCTACATCTCATTGCATCTTCTGTGAGTACAACATCAATTTAGTACTTTTGTTTGCATAGACAACTTACAGGAAAGAGTTTTGTGCATTAAATGCTTTTGGCTAAGACTATGTGTTATTAACTTTTCTAGAAGGATTTTACCCAGAGGAGTGCCTCGACCCATTAGCTCCCTGAGTTCCATTCCAAGTAATGCGTTCAAAGGCTCTTAGTTTACATCAGATATGAAAACACAAACTATAGCTCCAAAAGCAGAAGTTACAAAAGTTGCAAAAATTTTCAGTAAGAGGGTATTTTATATGTAAATTTTCAGCCCTCCAAGGGAAGGCTCTGCATTGACATAAATATTTTACTTTCAGGAAAGTGTCATATTGCAAATGTTTGTATTACACAAACATTTCCTCTATCATGTGTCTGATCTCTATGATGTAGATAGGAGATATTTTCAAACCCTTCCTCCAGAATATTGTGTGCTTGGCAATGAAGGATCATAGGAATTGGCAGGTTTCCTAAACATTTTCCTGAGTATTCTGTAATCAGGCTATGGGCCATATCCCACAATCTGCACCATTTCACCAGGCTAAGGTATTCTATTGTTATTATTATATTTTATTAATTTTGTTAGATCAAAGCCTATGACTCTGTGTGCTGTGATAGCTTTTGGTTACATATTGATGCAAAGAAATTTGAATTCAGAATTCTGGTGTAACCCTAGAAAAGCAAGGAAGCTGATATTTGGGGGCTTATCCTTAGCTGCTGCAAATTGTCACAGTGCCACTGACTTCAATGGAGCAATGACAAGTTATACTGGCTGGGGATTTAAAAGCCGGTTCTCCCTAGCACCATTTCCGCAGTGCCACTTCCTCTCCCACGGCTGCCTCAGCTAGAGGCAGTGGTGGGAGGGGAATAGAGGAGATTGCTGCAAAGCAGCCTCTGCAGCAGCCCCTGTCCATGGGGATCCCAGTGGGGAGATGGGCCCCCTCGTGGACAGGAACTGCTGCCGCCAAGCAGCCCTTGTTTATGGCAGCTGTGGCTGGCCAGGGACTGCTGTCAGAGCAGCCCCTGCCCGCAGCAAGCCCTGGCCGCCATGAACAGGGGCTGCTGGACACAGTGTGAGCTAGGACCGAGTAATCCCGGCTCATGCTGATCCAGGATGCTGTGCCTCTGCATTTTAAATGTAGTAATATCCCAGCCACCCTTGCTACATTTAAAATGCAGAGTTGCAGCGAGGGTGACTCCCAGAACTGGTGGGAGCTGGGACTGCTCAGTCCCGGCTCCAGGGCTACACCCGCTGCGGCTCTGTAGAGCAGGCCATATCGACTAATTGTGTAGTTGATCCAAATTGTATCGACTACACGATGAGCCAGATAACTGCAATTTAAGTTCCAAAGCAGAATGTGTTTTGCCACTATTAATTGCCTCCTTAACCTTCTCCATCAGTTCATCAAAGCTGATTCTGAACAATGATGGTGGGAGCATGCAGCCTTGCTAGACTCCTGGGGAAAAAGGAAGCGAAACTGTGTATCAGTCACCAACTTGGAACACTGCTTCTGTTCCATTCCAGAACTCTTCTGTCAGTGACAGTATCTTTCCACGCATACCAAGTTGCCTCATTGGATCCCATACATTTTCTCAATGCACTGAATCAAAGTCCTGACAAAAGTGCTGTGTGTGGCATATCAAATTTAGCCATCTTCTCAAAAAGCTATCAGGCCTCTGCAATATCATCTATCTTCATCTTCTTTGTCTGTAATAGCAAAGAAAAACAATGCCTTGCATACCTTTTGTTTATACGCACGTGAAAAATCCATGATTGCTACTTACTACTTCAGATCTCAGCTCACTACACACATTGAATGAGAATGTAACAGCAAAAGTGGGTCAAGAGTTCACATCCTGCTGCTCCAAAAACAAAGACTTCCGTGATTTGAATTTAAAAATATTTGTTTCTGTTAGCTCTAAGCAGTATAATACTTATTGGACACAGCTGATCTGCTCAGATTTTGTCCAGCAGAGGTCATCACAATGTAAATTTATATTTACAGATTTTCAAGGAGAGATCTTACAGATGTGTGGTCTTTCTAAAAATTAAGTTTACAGACTTTTCACATTGATTACATTGTATTCTAAATATAAAAATTAGAATTTTTAAATGCCTATTAGTAAACCAGAGACAAGGTGGGTGAGATTATATCTTTTATTGGATTAACTTCAATTACAGTCTCTGTCACATGGTGCTGAGCTCACATTACTCAGATCCAAGGATTGTGACACCAGTGATTTGAATGCAGTCACAACTTACATGCACTAGTTTAAATGAGATCCAAGATCCAGGCCTGCTGTGTAACTCTACTGTATTCATTGTGCAAGACAAGTGCACTGAAGTCTATGGATTTTGTTGAAGAATAGTCACTGTACATAATCAGCTAGTAGGAATGATGGTTTTAAGGTTTAGAAACTGGATTTGCATTCAGAAGATATTAATTCTATTTGGAATTCCACCACAGATTTTGAGTATGATTTTTGGACAAATCTCTTCAGGTTAGATTGTACCTGTGGGCACAGCCCTCTGTTAGGGGTACTGCAACTAAGGGAAATAAACTGTTTTAGGAGACACACTTCCTTCCTTGCTCTTGAGCTAAAGTAATCTGCCACATTTCCTGATTTATTGCAATTTCCATCACCCTATCCTTCTCTGGAGCTGCTGGCTAGAATATGGGGGACAGAGACAAATCTGCTTGTTTCTCATCCTCCAGAGTATCAGGCATATAGCTGCTGGTTACTCACTCAAGCCAGCAACAGCAATCTATCATTGCACAGCATGTACCCCTGTGTGGGGCTTGGTCATAATCTTCAATTGCACTAAACCTCAGTTTCTCCCATTTAAAAATAGGGATAGTAATACTCCTCTGCCTCATCCTACAGGGATGTGCATCAAAGAACTAATTAAAAACACAAAAATGTGTTGGCATCAGCCATTTGCTTGTTATAGCAAAGACTCTTGTTTATATGGCAGTGCAAAAGACGGTAAATAAAGTAAGCTGCTGTGGAGGTTCAGAGAGTCTTAGAAGGCAGCTGAAAGCAATAAGGGGTTGTTGGTGGTGTCTGTTGGTTGGTTTTTTTTTTCAGCAGCTGGGATAAAGCAGCTGACTCCACTTTTAGGGAAGATTTGTTGTGGGGAAAAATCCCTCCCAGTGGCCATGTGGTCTGCAGGTCTGTGTTTCATTTGGAATTTTACAAACTCACACCCAAGATTATTGACTATAAAACACTGCAAGGCAGGAACATACTGTACAAGTTATTTTCCTTAAATGGCCTGTAATGTTATTACCAGAAATAAATATAATTTCATTGGGCAGGAGGGGAGGGGTAACTGAGCATGTGTGTTTTTAACAATATCTAGGTAGCTGTTTTATCAGGGCTATAATCTGTGGGGGGCAACATGGCACAAAGATGGAATAGTGGGGTAGAAACAGAAGCCACACAGAAAGACCTGGGTGGTGTGGCTTAGTAGGGCCAGTACTTGCCCCAGCAAGGGGGAATAAGGGAGCACCTCCATCTCCATTCACTTCAGCAGACCACCCAACCTGCCTGGTCTGTGGGAGGGGGAGAAACAAAAAATCAGGGGAAGGGAGGACGTGACACCTTTGGGTGGACAAATGACAACAAATGTTAGGGGGGCACAAATATACTTAATCTCTGTGTGCACTAAAATGTCTAGTTACAGAGTTGTGAGAGGAACTGGTCTGCTGCTTTGGCCCATAGGGCTGCGCTCAGATCAGCATAACAAGGCCAACAGCGGTATAGGCACAGTGCTGTGCTTCTGCTACCTCGCCCGATGCAGCCTGCACAGATAAGGGACCAGACTCTGCTATTATGAGCCATGCTCTTGTGTGTTACCCACACGCTCATTCTCCCCTGCGCCCCCAGACTCTTGGGTTCAATGCTGCATGGCCCGTGGCCAGCCCCATTACATGTCTCTTCCTCAGTTTCCCCCACTGGGGGATGACAGGCCCCCTCTCCCCTTCCCACGGCTGAGGGAGGGGGAGCCCTGTGATCGGAAACGCAGCGCCTCCGGAGCAACATTTACACGAGCTGGGGAAGGAGTCGGAGCGCCCGGCCCGGCGTGGCGAGCCTGGGACACTCCTGCGGGGTGGGGCTCCTGACGCCAGCGGAAGCTCGGCACTAGGGGCTGGGCTAACCCAGGCCCATGGGCGTCCCCGCGTGAGTCCTCGGAGAGCAGGGCAGCGGCTTGTGTCCTGCCCGCCGAGCCCGGGCAACCCCGAGCCGGCCGCTGTCGCATGGGGCTGCTCGGCTGAGCGCGGCTGGAGCGAAGTGGGGCGGCGCCTTGCTCGCTGGCGCGGGGACTGGGAGCTGCTGGGAGTCCTGCCGCCCGGAGTAGCGATGTCTGCGCCTTGCTGCGCGGGCCAGGTGAGCGCCGGGGCGAGTCCGCTCCCCGTGCAGGGCAGCGCTCGGTGACCCAGCTCAGCGGGAGTTCGCGCCGCGCCCGCCCGCCGGCTAGAGCCCCCTAGGCCGGCCGGGACTGCGCTGGGCTGCCCACTCCCCGGCAGCGGGCTGAGCGGGGCGAGGGAGGCCCGGGGGTGGCGGCGTGAGCAGGCCAATGGATTAAGGCCCCGACCAGCTGGGGCAGGGGGTGTCACTTTTTACTGTGCGGCTTTGCTGGGGGCTGCTGCTGTGAGCCTCCTGCCAGTGCTGGGGGGCTGCGGACGGGGAGGCTGGGGCAGGCGCTGAGAGAGTCTCGCCCCGAGTAGCTGCATTGGTGCAGATCCGGGGGGCCCCGCGCTGGTGGGGCCCGGGCCCGTACAGGTGCCGCGCGATCTGCCTTGAGGCTCTGCCTGGCTGCAGAGAGCTGTTGATTGCTGTTGCACTGGCGCAGGTTTCCCTAGCGGGCACTTTGGAGGTTTGCAAGGCTGGGTGGCAGAACAGCTGTGCCTAGGTAGCCAAGGCAAGAGGGGAGGAGAGGTAGACATCGGCCAGAATCGGGTCTGTTACACACAGGTGTAAATCGGGAACAATACCTAGCTTGAGGGGGAATTGTTCTACAGTTATAGCAGCGTGACTGAAACCAGAAAATGGCCCACAGTTAAGTGAGGTGAACCAGTGAGCTCTTGAAAGAGGGTTACAATTCACACCCCTGCGTGATGTAGTTGCATTGACTCATTCCTGGTGAAGATAGTGCTGTGTTGACACTTTTTAGGAATGACTCAACATGAGTAGTGTCAGTGAGCACTAAAGCAGCGTAGCTGTACCTTTTAAAGCAGGGGTGGGGGACCTAAGGCCTGGGGGCCAGATGTGGTCTCCTGCTTGCCTGGATCCGGCCGCCAAGACTCTAGGCTCCTCCCCAAAAATTGGGAGCCTGTGCTGGTGCTCCAGTCCCATGGAACAGAAGTACAAAACATTTACTAGCTTGGGCCCCCCAGACTCTGGTGTGTGAGAGGAATGTGGAAGATGTCTTTCTCCTTCTCAGTCAGGGATCATGTCAGTGAGGGGTGTGTATGTTTGGTTTATTTTGGGGCTGTTTTTTTGCTTCTCACTTGTGTGTGGCTCCTGACTAATTTTTCTGTGGGTCAATGGCCCCTGACCCAAAAAAGGTTCCCTATCTCTGTTTTTAAGTGTAGACCTGCCCAAATCGCACACCTGTGGTAAAAACACACTTTTGCTAGCAGTGAAAATAGAGGGCAGTTTTAACTGGACAATGAAGTAAACGGGGTCTGTGAAGTTGCTTGTGGGTGTGGGTGACTTTGCTCAAATGACAACAGAGGTTGGTCCAATAGAAGATACTAACTGCCTCACCAGCCTGGTATTGTTAGGGGAAGCACAAGCAATCAGCAGATGGGCAAGCAGAGGCTCTCCTTTAAGAAGCCCTAGTGGAGGAATTCACAATAAAATAGCCCCTTTGCGGAGTTTTGGATAGTCAGTATAGTGGAATGAGCTGTTTCTGAAACCCAGTTTGGAAACTATTTATTTCTCTCTAAAGCCAGACTGAGTGCTGAGACCAGTGCTTTATTGTCCAGGAGCTTTGGTAGATGCCAGCTTGCTGCAGCACTGTAGGGCAAGGTAGCAGTTCAGAGAGTCAATGGGGGGTGCTGCACTTAGTGCCTTGACATGTTTTTTTATAGAATGCACCTTTGTCTGATCACTCAGCATGCTTGAATTACAAATACACAGTCAGATGGTGTTAATCTGGCTTGCTAAGAAAATCCACATTTTAAAAAGCTGTTTAAAAGCTAAAATACTAATATCTATCTAGGTAATACGTGCATGTGAATGGACAGCCTCTCTAGTTTCATTGTGACTTTTATGCTATTAGGTAGGAGTATGCCAATTCTCTCCACCCCCCAAAACAGTCAGTTCTGTATTCAGAAAATGAAATGAGATAGCTGTGGAAAGTTTTCCTCCACATTGGAGACATAAAGAAAGTGATTACTGGCATCCCTGAGGAAATGCATTCAGTCTGAGCGGTTCTGTGGTTGTTCTGTTTACTTGCTATACAATACGAAGAAACAAACTGATTCTCAAGGGAAATGTCTTGTGGTATGTGTAATAATTTTTAAAATAACTTTTAGTACCTCTTTGATCATTTAGTAATATACAGAGCATAGTATGGTTGTAATGGCTTTTCCCTTTAATTCAAGATTTTAAATTGGATGTCTTCACTCCTTTTAGTGCAGTTGAACAATCTTGTGAGCTAACATACATTTATAACTTGTGAGCTAACATACGTTTCAGCATTTGTTCTCTGAAATTTCTGCTCCTCAATATGCATTTCTTCTGATAGGAAAAGTTTGACAGGCTATCTTGTTAAATGTCATATTAGCAGAGTTGTAAAATGCATACAGATGTACATTTTAATGGGGTTGGCTCTGCTTATAGAATACTGTGTAAAACTGTCACCATACACAGATTTTTTAATAACTAAAAATGTGCCTTTTTCCAAGGGTGCACGTTATTGGTATCATTGCCAAATTTCAGGTGTCTAATTGTATTCCACCTTCCTAAACCTTTCAGTGTCATTTTAATCAGAAATAATAGCAGCTCCTTCTCTGTTGTGTGCAAAACATTTATACTGATGAAATGTTATAGCTTAGAATTTAAACACAAGAAGCTATAGGTAGGAGTATTGGGCTGGAAATTCAAAAATGGACTGGAGAGACGGAATATTAGAGCATATGCTTTCCTGAACTACAACTCCCATCCTCAGATTCTGAAGAGGAAAAAGGGGGGGGGGGGGAAGGGATACAAAGAGGAAACTGTGATATTAGTACCAGTTAAATCAGAGTAGATGTGGTTCATCTCCTACAGTGGTGGGAAGGCCAGAGTACCTGAATAGGAAATTACCTATTGTAATGCAAGAACCACTCCCTGTTTGTTTAGACTTTGGTTCAGTGTGTCAAATTTGCACATGAATTCCAGCTCAACAGTTTCTCTCTCCAGCCTGTTTTTGGCTATGTCCTCACATGTTGGCAAAAAAATTGTTTTCAATTGCTGGGTCATATGGCGACTTGCACCTGTGTGACACAGTGCACTAAGTTGCACCTTCCTGCTTGGTGGGATAGTTAAGAACATTGGGTATTCCAAAAAAGCACAGCCTAGGCAAGCTAAAATCTGTCCCTCACCAAGTATTGAGCTCCCTCAGTTGATGAAAAGATTCATTCCAGGTTAGTGTAGACAGTGGTCACCAACCTGTAGATAGAGATCTATTGGTAGATCTTGGAGCCTCTGACAGGTGATCCTAACTTGTCTGGCCAGGAAGCTATCAAGCAATTGCACTGGAGCAATTGCCCCTCCACCCACTGTTGTTGCCGCTGCTGCCCTCCTGCTTGCTGTGTATGGTGTGGGAGTAAGAAGGGTGGGGGGGGGTGCTGATGTCAGGGCGTCCCTCCTCCCCACTCTTCTGTACCCTATCTCCACACAGAGAAGGGGATGGAGGGAGGTTGGCAATGCAAATCTCTCTCTCTCTCTCATGCACTGCGTGTGTCTGTCATTCTCACAAACACACATTGTCCTTCGCTCTCATCTCCCAACTCAACACACACGTGGGGAGTTGTTACTACTTTTACTGCTTGCAACATGGGTTATATTTGGGTTGTGACTGGTCTGTGCATTTCATAAGTTTCATTTTTTTATGCTTTAATTTAATTCTTTGAGCAGTGAGTTCTCAAATCCTAACCTATCCTGGCTGGAGTAATTATCCTTGTGGTAATAGCTGCCTATGGGAGTGGCTGGCACGTCCCTGTAACCCCAGAGAGAGGCAGAGCAGGGGTGTTCCACATTGATCAAAAACAGGGAACCGTGGCCAGTACAAGCTGTGGGCTCAGTGCCTGTAGATGAAGGGCACCACATGGCACTATGGAGCCACTTCGGTACATGCCAGCTGCTTTCAGGAGTGGTGCAGGGCCAGGGCAGGAGTAAGCCTGCCTTAACTCCACTGCTCCACCACCCGCAAACTGTCTGTTAAGTGGTGCCCAGCCAGCGCCTGCTTCCTGAACCTCTGTCCCAACCCTGAACCTCCTCCTACACCCAAACTCTTGCTCCAGATGTGAGACCCCTTGAATCCCAACTCCTTCCCACAGCCTACACCTTGAAACCCCCTCCTGGACCCTGATCCTCCACCTTGGGCTAAGCCCAGAGTCCCTCCCACACTCTGAATCCTTTGGCCCAAGACCAAAGCCTGCACTCCAACCCCTACTCCATCCTGGTGAAAGTGAATGAGGAGGGAGAAGAAAGGGGCATGGAACGAGCAGAGTGAGGCCTCAGAGAAGGGGTGGAGCAGTGGCTGGGCCTCAGAAGGAAGGAAGGGGGCCAAGAGTATTTGGGTTTGAGGTAGATCTTGCATTGCACTTAAATTGAAAAAGTGATCTTGTGGTTTAAAAAGGTTGGAGACCTCTGGCGTAGGAGTTCCTGTCACCCAATCTTCTACCACTACAATAACATTGGGAAGGGAGAGTGTGCCTAGAGGAGGAATAGGCAACCCATTAAACCACAGAGAGCCGGAACAGCAGCAGAAAAAATTGTTGAGTTCCCCACCAGCCAGAGTTGTTGAGCGCAAAAAAAAAAAAGCTGCCCCTTTAAAAACCACGGGTTAGGCTTTTTTTGCCACATCAGGCTCCTGCCGGCCGACGCCATTTTGCTGCAGCAGACGGTTCCCCTGCCCCCGGTGAGCTCAGGGAGCCAGGGGCCCTTTGTAGGGGCGCATGGGGCGGCTTCGCGAGCTGCGGGGGAGGCTTTACAAGCCGCACTTTCAAGGGTGAAGAGACGGATGTGGCTCGCAAGCCGCAGGTTGGCCACCCCTGGCCTAGAGGGGGACACCATTCAGCACAAATGGATGCTTTTGCACACCGATCTCCTTGAACTAAGAACTGTCAGGAAAGCTGGTAGCTATGATCTTCCTTTAACCAAGGGCACATCTG